CCAGGCTTCCCTCTGCCTTTCGTTGATGAAGGGCTTCTTCTGTGCCCTGTGTGACTTCAGACCAGCTTCAAGAAGTCGGTTTCGAACTGTCCTTGCTGAACAAGTTACATTTTTGGACGGTGCCCACTCATTTTTAGGGTTCCTGGAGGTCTGACAACGATTCCCGACACAGGAACAGATCACACGAACGGATGAGTGCACGGTCATCTCGTGGGATAGAAAGATGTTTCCTGCCGTGACCAGCTAGCAATTTGGTCGTACCATGTTCATCTTGTTTTCTCTTGGTGTAATGAACAGCTGTCTTGGAGCTCTTCAGTTTTTTCACTACATTTCTCTCACTCATGCCAATTTCCAGCAGTGCCAAGATGGCTGCCTTTGTAGCTTCACATAATTCTTTATTTTTAGGCATTATGTGACAGTTGACAACTTCTGAGTTGTACTACGGCTTGAATGTAAGCAGGAAACCACTCTAGGCCTTTGTATGTGTAGTGCTGTTTATGATATGAAATGGCCTCTTCTATACCCTGACAATACAATTAAGCTTAAGCATGTCAAATAGGACATAAAGTATGATGTAATCAGCTGCATTTTATTTTGGTTTATTGTATTCTTTAGGTAATATACCTTTAGTGGCATTAAAATGATCAAGAAAGTGAAGAAAACAAGGGTGGTCTACTAATTTTTTCCATGACTGTATATTTGCAAATTTAATATCTTCCTTTCAAAAAACACGTTGGAGATAATGTAGAATAGCTTGCAGAGAAGGTGATCAGCTTGAAATAAACTTAAGTTTAAATTCAAACCCCTGTTCTATTGTTGGTCTATCTTGTGCCGCCAAAAACGATATGACCCGATGGGACATGAACACCGAACCTCTGGCTTTGTCATCTGGCATCTGGCAGCAGGATGTTGGCGGCAGAGATCCTTTGGATCCTGTGTTTTTTAGGCTGCAGCCTCAGTGGATCAGGCTTGTTCCAGTGCATCCCCGACATGCTCCATCAAATTTGAATCTGGGGAGTTTGGAGGCTGGGTCAGTGCCTTGAGCTCTTTTGTCATGTTGCTGAGCAATTGCATACAGGGAATGTGTTTGGTTTGCAATAATGGCCAGCTTGGCGGTATGTCAACGAAACATCTACAAAAATGCTAGAACCAAAGGTTTCCAAGCAGAACATTGCGTAGTAAAATTCTTGCTTTTGGGATACTGTTCATCAGTGCTCAATTAAGGCCTCCTGGCATCTACTTATGCATTTATTTTTGTCTTTTGTGATCAGCAGCATTATTGGTATGCAGGTGTTCTGGCAATCCATGAAACAATCCGTGCTTCTGTGCTATGCCAGCTCAGATATTCAGCAACTGCATCTGTCTAGGTAGATCCAGAATCCCAATTATCTGACTGATTGACTGCATAGATAGAAAAGATAAGCCAGTGAGGTAGAAAACCGGTAATATTCTTGGGACAGAACAGGTATACCAGCATAAGTGGTGATGGTGGGCGCGTCCCTGTCTCTTGCAGGTGGTCCATCTGGTGCAATAGAGAATTACCTGTGTGATGTAGTTTCTCTCCTCAGCCAACCTCAACTACACACAGACACACACACACATAATTTCCTGGGAGAACATTTGTTTGCTTTCATTTGACGGTTTTGGAGGATCTGGCCGGCACAGATGTCTGCCTGGCATGCAACGAGTACCGCCAACATTGATTGGACCTGATCAGCAGGCGAGGGAGGAGGACAGCCTAAAAGGCTGGAGAAAAAAAAAACCAGAAAGGGCCATACAGTCTTTCCTTGTGCTGTCCTTTTTTTTTTAGCTTGAGAAATTAAGAAACCCTGCCAGAACCACCCGCCTTTATTATAATAATCTGTAGGTTGTAAAAAATAGAACTTTAACCGTAGTTGGAATCACTTTCTTTCATCAGCTTTACAAAAATGATAAGCTGGTTTGTTGAGTCAGTATGTCTAAGTGACATTGCCAGTGCCGTCTCACTTCGTAGCCTTAGACAGGGCTGGAGATCATTAACAGAGCGGACTGGATCCTGTGGACTTACAGGTAATTGCTGCCTCCATCCTACAGATGTGTATTCACATGTTGGCGGTGACTCTCACCAACCTATTGTGACAAGGTCGTGGCCTGCTGTTTCCAAGCGCACAGTTGTGTTTGGTACTAATCCCATCTGTATCATCACGCATGATATTAGCGACTGGACACCTTGCTGATTATATTAGACTCACCAAGCAGTGCTTGCCACCAGCACAAAGAACCTGGGTGTGCTCACTGTCTCAGAGTTGCTTTTTTCTGCTGCTAGGTATTTTTTCAGTAAATTTCCATGGCTACTTCCAAACAACAGGCAGCAAATGTGCAGACAAACTCTATTTTGTATTGTGTCACCCTCTGTTTGTTAATTTATCTTTCAGTGTGCCAAAGTTTCTGTTAGGTTCTTACAATGCCATTGCATCTCCTACCTGACAGAAATAAACTCAATGCTGTGGCAGTTTAACTGCACAACATCAGCAAGGTAGCTTAATTATCGCCTACCTGCCTGAACAGCCACAGCAGAAGCCACATGTAATATGTTTTACCCTAACTAAAGGAGGTCTCAACAATGCAGCTAATGCTTTTGGCTGAGGTCACTATCCATTTACCTCATACTATGTATATAATGATTTTAGAACTTGCTATTCAGGCCTTTTACATGTAAGAATTCAGTGTGTTGTTTAAAGCACAGGCAAACCCTGATATCGATGGCATGACAAAATCACTCATTGAATGATGTCATAGTTTGATAGACTGACAGCCGAGCTATCAGCGCTGATTTTAGTGTTTGAATTTACAAAGTGTCTGCAGGTGTTGCTGCGTTATGGCTTCTTCTCACAGAGGCAACTGTTTGCAGTTTTAATATTGTGCAGTGCAGATGACAGAGACAAACTATAGTCACTGCAGCATTTAGGCAAATACAAAACTATGGTGCTTTGATTCCAGGTTTCCCCCTGACTACGTGGCTTGTAACAAAGGGCAGCCGAGAGGCAAAGGTTTACTTTGGATAATAATATTAATGATGAAACTTGTTTTGATTCATCAAGTGAGGAGGGGATCAATGCACGACATGCTGGGTCACTGATGTCACGAATTAAAAATGAAGGCATGCATGTAAATTACTGCTGACAGATCAATATTGTGATGTTAGATGTTTGTGTGGAAGTGGGCAGATTGTGAGAAACCAGTGACTAAAAAGAAAAGGCTGGCAATATTCAACTATATGTTGCTGTGTTGTGAAAAAAGTCTGATCCTGGTGGCGCGTGTTTGATTTGCCTGTGTAAGACCTCTCTCTATTGCTATCCAGAAACTATTAAAAAATAAATAAAATAAATGAGCCACACTATAGCAGTGGGTGACATGTTACTTTACTAAAATGAGACCTGGTGCTAAAAATAGTCACCCAAGAACAAGAAGTCTATTAAACCCCGTCTTTTTAAGTAGCTTTCAATTATCGTGCTGTAGAGGAAATGACTTAACCTGGCCCTTTTGAGTAAAACTACGTGCGTGATCTGTATTTAAAAATGTAGTTTTTCACTAAGAACAAATGCCTCAGAACGGTTAGAGAAGCCAGACATGAACTGTGAACACCAGCATTTTCCCCAATGCTAATGAATTGGTGCAGTACACTGGTTACAGACAGAATCATGTGAAGATCAGTGAATTGCAGTCTGCCTCCTTTACTTGCACTTTTCTGCAGCAGGTGCCACTTGTAAGGGGAGAGGGCAGGAAACATGGAGTCAGTTCATCAATACAAAACATGACGAGACAACAAGTGGAAAGGAACGTATCGGTGAGATAAACTGACTGCATAGGAGAGGTCACTTACTGTAGAACGAGGGAGAACAAGCGGTGAGGCGGTGAGATAGCAGCAGCGGCTCTGCCCATCCTCCCAGTGACAAAGCAGCGTTACGTTCTGCCTCTCCGCTTTGTCGTCAGAGCAGCCCCAGCCCCCCGCCCGCCCGCCCGCACACCCCCCCCCCCCCCCCCCCCCCCCACAAGAATACACGCTTCTGTCCCCCCCTCTCTCTCTCTCTTTCTCTTTCTGTCTCTGTCTCTCTCTCTCTCTGCCTCTCTTTCTCTTTCTGTCAGCTGGTGTGTCCTCAGAATGAGGTTAGGAGCACCAGTAGCAGCAGCAGCAGATAGACAGCAGAGGCACAGTTACTGCAGCAGCCAGGAGAGGCTGTCCTTCAGCCGTGCACCATCTACCGCTGCATTCACCTCTGCCCTGAGAAACGCGACGCTCATCCCTGTGCTCTCTTTTTGTTTCTCTTCTCGCTCCTCCCTCACCTTCTGTCCTCTTTGAATTCATCTCTTGAATTCGTCCCTCTCTCGCTTTCTCTCTCTCTCTCTCTCTCTCTCTCTCTCTCTCTCCCTCTCCCTCTTTCTCTCTCTCTCTGTAGCAGTGATGGGGAAGACCACCATGTAGAGACAGAGAGGCAGCGGAGGCAACAGCAGAATAGCAGCAATGGGAAGCCACACATGGAGCGGGTCTGGACTGCAGCCGTGGTGAGCCTGAGACCTACAGGAATTGGAACCACCCTCATTGCCCTTCTCAGGACCTGACCACTGGGGCTGTCCAACGCTTACCTGGATGCTCCTCACTTGTGTTTTCACGTCCCCTCCACTCCTCCTTCTCTTCTGCTCTCTCTCCTCTTCTTCTGTTTCTTCTCTTTGATGTTTTTTTGGTCTGCTGATAGCTGTCTCTCCTGAAACAGAGAAGCTGCTCGTCAATTTATCCCCCCTCGGATTTTTTCCCCCTTTTTAATTTCTCTGTCTACTTACTTCACCTACAAGAGGTATTCTTTTTTCTCCCCTTTTTTTTTTTGGTTGTTGTTGCCTGCTTGATACGTATTTTGGATTTTTTTTTTTTCTGGATGAGACTGAGCTGAGCTGTTGTGCAAGCTTTTTGTCTGATATATAAGCAATAACAAAAACTAATATAACTGAGTTGACTAGCTGACAACATGGGGGACATGTCCAACAGCGATTTTTATGCCAAGAACCAAAGAAATGAGGGCAACCATGCGGCAGGCTTCGGCTGCTCGCTCATGGAGCTGCGCTCGTTGATGGAGCTGCGTGGCACAGAGGCGGTGGTCAAGCTCCAGGAGGACTACGGGGGAGTGGAGGGACTGTGCAAACGACTGAAAACCTCACCCACAGAAGGTGAGTCCTCATGCTTGTCTATTCATGTGCATGGGTGTGTATGTAAAAATGCATGCTCTGGTGTTTGCTGTATGATGGAGCTCATCTTGAGGAATGTGTCCTCTGTGTTCTACGGAACATGCAGTTGATTGTACATTTTCATTGTATTTTTTTTATGTTGGATTGTATATGTACTTGGTGCACATGCTTTTTTTTGTCATTAAAGTCAGTGTTAAAAGCGCAGACATGCAGAAACCTTGTAAAGCACTTAGAGAAATGCGTAAGCACAGCATCAGAATAGCACATAGGGGAGGGGAGTCCCATTTGAGGGGACTAATAAAAATTTTTCACAGCCAGCTAGCGTTAGACCTGTTTAGTATGCACAGAAATCTCCCTGGACAGTTTAGCCTGCCTCAATCCCCCTCCCCCGCAAAAGCATCCTACCCTCCCTTGTCATCCTCCTCTTCAGCCAATCAGCCGTACCCTTATTAAGGACCTGGTCGCTGGAGCAGCATGGTATAGGTTTTGGTCAGTGGGATGTGTTCTGGTGTCTGCAGGTGTAGACTGGGCAAGAGTGGAATGAGATAGCATAAAAAAAAAATCGCATATCCATAAAGGTTTCCTATTGCTCCTTTTCAGTTTCATATCTAGGGAAAAAAAAAAAAAGTTAAATTAGTACTGCATGCAGGTTAAATGCCAAATATCTGCTTCTAAATATTATCCTAAGGGGCATGGGTGGAATAAATATAATAAAGCACGCTCTTCTTTTAAAGAAGCTGTAATAAATGCATAACAACACTGGCTGTGATGATGTCAGCCCAGTCACCTAGTGCTACATCTCTTATCAATTCTATCCATTTTTAATCCCTTAGCTTAGTCATAATGTCCATTTTAAACTTTTCAAATATGCACACATGATTTAAATGCAATGACTTATTCTCTACTACATATTGCATTAAGGCTTGATATTCTGTTGCATCACTCCCAGCCAGGATACAAAATGGACCTCTCTGGTAGCTACACCTGAGCACTGAATATTTATAACAGTGTGGAAATCATCCAGCTCCCCTGACATTGGGATCATTGATAAGTATGCATGTAGTGTCACCTGGGTGACATCAGAGGTACCCTGTAACCCTATAGGTTGATAGTCAAAGAAGATAGTGTTTCCTGATCTTTTAAAGCCAGTCCAGCCACTTCTAGGTCAGCTCCTGGTAATGCCTGTGGCAAGAAAAAGCCAGATGAATTCAGAGAATCTTCCCCATTACAGAGTTCAGTAAAGAGCAAATCAAAATTTGATGGAATAGGACAAAAGCGCAGATGAGCACTGACACTGATAGAGCACTGGTTGTTGCTCTTCAGTTTTCTTGGTAGACTGGTTCCATGTGCTGTACACCTGCACCCAGAATGTAGTTACCTATGTGTTCCCTTGTAGGTGACAGTGGGGTGAAGAGCTAGCATTTCCCTCAGGCAGCCAGCAGGTGAAGTCATTCAGGGGCCAGATGGGTTGTCAGGCTACAGCTTGGTTTCCAAGAAAGGATGGCAATGAGCTGTTTGGTGTATGACCTGCTTCATTTGAGATGAGAGAAAAGAGAAAATCAGTGGGTGCTGGCTGTACAACTGTTTTCTCAAGAGACAGTAGGGAGCTGCAACACGTTGGTCCTCCCGGTTGGGGAGCAAGGAGTTGTGAAATAGCACTCAGGACATTGATGTTCCTCCAGGGTTGGGAGGATGGAGAGGAGCTCAGGGCATTGACAGTCTTTGATGCTGTGAGAAAGGGAGAGTGGGAAGGTCTTAGGCAGACCCTGCTAGAAAGGAGAAGTAAAAACAGATGTATGTGAAACCATATTATATACCAAGAGCCTGTCCACAGTTTAGATATGACTGCAAATTCTGATCAAATGTGATATTAATGGGAACATGAAGCAGTGACTGTTAAAATATGCAAGCTTATGCTATATTTTATTTAATGCTACCACTTTTTTAGCTGTACACCTAATAGTGGCGAGACAGTGAATATTGCTCATCACTTTATTTGCAACATCAGTGTGAAACAATCCCTGCAGTGTTCCACTGATACTGGAATGAAACTGAATTTGAAGTAGCAATAAAATTATCATAACAGACATAAAATTATAATTTCATTTCCCCATTCTCATGAGCATCCCAATTAGATACAGGAACAATACATTGGATCAGTGCGCTAAACACTAACTCAGGATCACGGCCTGCAGGCGTGCAATAAAACTAAAACTATAGTAATTAAACTTATGAAATAAAAACAGGAATATTGTAGTGATTAACATGCTTTCTGGTATGGGAAATCTGATTTGCTCAACCCAGCATTTTACCGGTACTGTCTGCACAGTACCACTATATCTGATTATCTTAACACAGTACATAATCACAGAAGGAATCTACTTCAGGTATATAAAAAATGCAAAAAACATCTCATTTAAAATCTTTAAAATTCTTAGATAAAACAAATATGTGATGTCATTAGAGTTCCTTATTCCACTTTAGACTTTTTAAGCTAATGCTATTTGGGGTCACAGTGTAACATACTGGCTCTTTCTGGTTGATATGTCCAATCAGTAAATTAAGAATCATGAAAATAATAAAAGAAATGAAAAAAATAGACATAATCTAAATAAGATGCTCTGTTGACTAGTAGCTAACACAATTCTATCTCAAATGATAATTATTTTCATATGTGTCATTTACTGGATTTACCAGAATGCATTGTGTATTTTGTCCAACACTCAGCTAGATGAGGTGCTTGCATATTATATTTCAACATTGTCACTGGATTAATTTTTTAAAATAAATCAGTATGTTTTGCCTGGTTGGAGTCATCTCCTACTGCTAACATGCAGGACCAACAGTTATTTTATTTTTTTAATAAATTATTTTCTCTCGCAGGAACAATGACTGACTGGAAAATCTGTAACGGTATCTCATCTCATTTGCATTAGATATCATAGCTGTTGCTCCACAGAACATATGTTACCTTAGAAATATGATCATTGCAATTATCCTTTAGGATATTCTGCAATGCTTGCTGTCATCATGTTTACAGTGTGTAATGTGTATATGTCCCAGGGGCCAGCATCGGATGGTAGGAGGCCCTGAGCACACTTGACCTATTAGCCCCTTTATACTGTAGCCTGTACCGACTCTTTGACATGATACTAGCAGTCCGTGAATGGCCATCGCGCATTATGCAGCATACATGCATAATGGCTCCGTAAGCATAGAAATGCAACTGGTGAAGAGGTTTCTCTCTTGATAAATGCATTTAAACCCATCAGGCACAAGGACACTGCTGCACTGTAGCTGCAGTGCACGGAGTTGTACAGTTTAGGAGAAAAGGGGCGAAAAAGGACCACAATGAGATGTTTTAGAGCCTGTTTACTGATGATGCATGATAAACATTATGCATACGAATAGGAAACAGCACAGACAGTAGCCATGTTTTTACATATGTAAAGTATTCCTGGATTTTCCAGTTCTTACCTCTCAATTTTTATCAATAGCTTGGTTTCTTGTACTACATACCTGCACCCAGGATGTACTTACATGTTGCACTGTAGGTGACAGCAGGGTGAAGGGCCAGCGTTTCCTTCAGGCAGCCAGCAGGTGAACGGCATGAGTCATTCAGGGGCCATATGGGATGTCGAGATACAGCTTGCTTTCTGAGATGAAATGGCACGAAGCTATTTAGTATACGACCCCCTTCTCTTGAGACAGAAGAGAAGATGTTGGGTGGGTGTTGACAGTACAACTGTTTTCTCAAGAGAGAACTGCAGCACGATGGTAGGTTCCCCCCTGGGAAGGGAGCAAGGAATTGTGAGAGAGCGCTCAGCCATTCCTTGATGGAGAGGTGCTCAAGGCATCTATAGCCTTTGATGTTGTGTGGGAGGGTAGGAGGGTTCTTACCCAGACATTTGCAAGAAAAAAGAGGTAAATATAGATGTGTGTAGAGCTCAAGAATTGTCCACCTCACAAAACTACAGCGGTAACCTTTTGTAGGAATTCATGTAGCTGCTTGTAAGGACAAAATAACCATTGGAAATGTAGCAGTTACTGTTTTAACATTCATGTTTCTGCAAGTTTACACTAAATTGTTTTAATGATGTTTTCTAATTTTCTCGTTGTATCTGGTATTGTTCATAGTATTATCATAAAAAATGGAACACACACCAGAAGCCCTAAAAGGCTTCTACTTCACTGTCTGTAGCGCTGAATGTCAGTATGGCTTCAGTCACCACGATGATGGGCTGTAGTGCTACATGCCGGATAGAGATAGCACTAAATACTAATTAATGCAATGGGAACTTTTAAAAGTCAAAAGGATTTCAATCCGATTCAGTCCAAGTGTTTTTCATAACTTATATTACATTCAGTCTGGGACTGAACTATTTTTTTCCAACCAAATGAGATCTCTCAATTTCATACCTTCACCCTCACCTCTTTTCTTTCTAATATTTTTCTTTGCCCTTTATGATATCACCACGCCTCATTTCAGCATCCCTACTGCCTACGTCCCTCCACTTCTCTTCTGTCTTTAGTTCATTTGATCTGAGTCCTTGCACATACGCAAAACCTCCTTCACCACCTGCAAATCTCCAGCAACATCACCTGTTTCAAACCTCATGAGTTCATTTTGCATCTGTTTCTGATAAAGTCCAAACCAGATGCTAACTTTACTGGCACAAATCCACATCTAGTCGTCTGTGTCCTGACTAAACTGGCAGTGGTAGGGTTACCTGATAATAACAACAGCTACACCTCAAGGATCACAGCCATGTGTTTTGTTCGCTTGTTCACCTCATAGAACATTCATAGGGCTATTTTAGGCTTACATGGCTCTGATATACGTATTTGGGATTTTTTTATTTTTTGATACCTTGCTGATTATATTAGACTCTGAAAGTGAAAATCTAATTTATTCTACATAGACAACTGCAGCTTGTTCATGTGTGGGTATGAGGCTCCCACAGTTTAATCATCATTACACA